CTTTTCAATCTGCAAAAGATTTCCCAGCCATCTGCGTCAGCTTTGAGAAGCCTGATCGACACAGTGTCGGCCACCTATGACTCACTTTTGTCAATTGGTGACGACAAGAAAATCGCTAATGCCATTTTAATTTATTTAGTTATGGGCAAAGTCGATCCTACCACAAAAAAGAAGTGGGAAGAGCAGCTCGACTACACAAAGCTCCCACTATGGCGAGATTGTGAGACTGCTCTTAACAGACGTTCCAAGCATATTGTTGCTGAAGAAGCTAGTAAAGCTCAAGCGAAGGGCAGCCAGTCGAGCAATAACACTCAGACTCAAAAAGTCAAAAATGCTAGCAGGATAAATCATTCGTTCGTTGCTGCCAAAAACGAACAGAATAACCTCAGTTTTGCAATTCAGCTGACCATTCGATTGGCAATTGCCAGGCATATATTGCCTTGTCAGTGCAGCAAAGGTTTGACTTCGCTAAAGGTGCGCCTTTGTGCATAAACTGTCTTCGACGAGGCCACACAGTAGCGAAGTGTAAGGCAAAGAAATGTAGCGTGTGCCAACGTTCTCATCACACACTGCTACATATTTATACTGCTAGCACAAATCTTGCGTTACCACCACCCTCTCAGCCACCACATCTTCAAGATAGCTCTTCCACTTCGCATGCCATGCATGCGACTGCTTCGGATAGAGTGGTTCTTGCAACAGCAGTCGTGAGCGTTAAAACGAAAAGTGGCGATTTCGTTTTAGCAAGAGCATTGTTAGATTCTGGGTCACAAGTCAACTTTGTGACTGAGGATCTAGCTCAAAAGCTACAGCTCAGACGAGAGGATACGTGTATGGTCTTGCGCGGCATTGGAGACACCAAAGCGCGTGCCAAGAAAAGAATTCATACAGTGGTGAAGTCGCGTGTCAATTGTAGCGAGTTTTCCGCAGATTTTTGGATCTTGGGATCGATTTATGGTTATCATCCCGATCAAGCGGTGAACACCAGCGGGTGGAGGGTCCCCAAAAATATTCAATTGGCCGATCCTCAATTCCATAAACCCCAAAAAATTGATATGCTAATTGGAGCAGAGTCATTCTTCGACTTATTGTCGGTAGGCCAAATAAAGCAAGGCCCTGAGTCTCCCACATTACAAAAAACGCTTCTCGGCTGGATAGTGTCAGGCAGATGCTCTACTCATTTAAGTTGCCAAGAAGAACAATTACTTTCGATAGACTCAACGATACAAAAGTTTTGGTCCATTGAGGACTTGCCTAATAATTCGAAAGTTCTCTCACCTGAGCAACAGCTTTGTGAACAACACTTTGTTGATAATACAAAAATCTTGTCGTCTGGTCGATTTCAGGTACGGATACCTTTTAAATCTGACCCAAAAAATCTTGGCTCGTCGTATGAAATTGCGAAACGTCGTTTTTTGCCGCTTGAAAGGAGGTTGTCAAAAGACCCTCAAATGTATCTGGAATTTATGGACGAGTATGTTTCGCTCGGTCACATGTCCTCAACGGACAACAAAATTCCAGATACTCCACACTATTTTATTCCGCATCAGTGTGTCCTGCGGCCTCAAAGCACGTCGACCAAGTTGCGTGTCGTTTTCGATGCCTCCTGCCGCACGTCCACTCAGATTGCGTTGAATGATACCTTAATGATCGGCAGACATAAAAAAAATGTACCGTCAGGTGATGGTGCACGAAGCAGATAGAAACTATCAGCTCATAGTGTGGCGAAGAGATCCATCTGAGTCTTTGAAAATCTTCAGGTTAAACACTGTAACATATGGCACGTCGCCAGCTCCGTTCTTGGCGGTGCGGGTAACAAGGCTGAGTGAAATGGTCCGTTCCTCACATCCAACAGCTGCTGAAGTTATTCGGAGCGACTTTTATGTCGACGATATGTTAACTGATGCTGAAAGCGTTGAACAGCTAAAAAAGCTTCGAGCAGAAGTGTCGCACGTTCTTCAAAGTGCAGGCTTCGAATTGGCAAAGTGGTTTTCGAACTGCTCGGAACTGTCCGCATTTGATAGCACAGTTATTCCAGTAGCCACAGTCGACTCAGACCCAACCAAAACGCTCGGCGTTATGTGGTGGCCGAAAGAAGATGTATTTCAGTTCCAGTTGGAAAATTCCTTCCTAGATCTCCGCTCGAAAAAACGGAACATATTATCGGTGACTGCCAGGCTTTTCGATCCTCTAGGCCTTCTTTGCCCGCTGATCACCAAAGCAAAAATGTTGCTCGCAGATCTTTTTCGTCAAGTCCGCCCGTTGCTTAATTTTCCAATAGACAAGATAATTGTGGACTGACTCGGAAATGACGCTCCACTGGATCAAGTCACATCCGTCGGCATGGTCAGTTTTCGTTTCGAACAGGGTTTCTCAAATCCAAGAGTGGTCCGAGAATGCAACGTGGCGACATGTCCCAACGAAATCCAACCCAGCAGACATCGTGTCCAGAGGATGTAATGTAGACGAGTTGCGTAGCTCCATTTGGTTTACAGGGCCAGCCTTCCTCATGGAATCTGAAGAAAATTGGCCTGTGAATGCTCACTTCAAGCAGCCTAAAAATTCAGCTGCCCTAGAAATTCGTATGTCTGCTGTAGTTTTACTCGCTGATCGGCAAGCCAATTATATTCTCGAAGTTATCGAAAGCTACTCGTCACATTCAAAATTGCTGAGGGTGTTCGTTTGGGTTTTTCGATTTATACAAAGGTGCAGAAAGGTCTCGAAGCCCTTTGATCCTATAGCCAAGCCAAGCGAACTCAATTTGGTATTCAACAAAATTGTTCAAGTCATCCAGGACAATGAGTTCGGTGACGAAATCGACAAGGTTCGAAAAAAGAGAACACTAACTACATGAGTTTAGAGAAGACGGTTTCTTGTTTTCCTTGCTGAGATTAGGGGGAGAATGCTCCTATCCCGTACGAAGCCAAGTTTCCGTTGTTGCTTTCTAAAAAGTCGCAATTCATAAGATCGTACGTATTTTATTTGCATGTGTCAAATTGCCATGCTGGCCCTAGATCGCTGACGAGCCTGCTTCGTGAGCGAGTTTGGCTCGTGAACGCTCATCTGCTTCAAATGGAAGCCCCGGTTGGCCTCCCAAGTAATGGGAAATCTTTCGGCAGACAGGCTCCAGCCGTTCCACCCGTTCGAAGTATGTGGTGTTGATTTTTGTGGTCCTATAAGCAGAACGCTCCGCATCCGTAGCAAGCCACCGTACAAGTCGTACGTGGCTCTTTTTTGAGCTTGTGTCAGATCTAACCACTGATGCTTTTCTCTTGGCTTTTGAAAGGTTCGTCGGAAGGAGAGGCGTCCCTCGCAAAGTTTACTGCGACAACGCAACGAACTTCGTGGAAGCCGACAGGAAGCTGCAGGAGTTCCGAGCGAGATGGGAGAAGGAGGCGGAAGGCGTACGCGAATTCGCATCAAGAAAAGGATGGGAGGCAGGTGTAAAGTCTGCAAAGCACCTGTTCCTACGGTCGGTGGGCAATGCGCTGGCGACTCCAGCTCCACCGCTTCCGGACATCGACAGCCAAACCTGCTTAAGGAGATGGCGCAATGCCTCGTGTCTCAAGCACAGGTTTTGGCAGCGATGGTCCCGGGAGTACATTTCGAGCCTCCCAAAGTGGGTACTTGGTGCGGGTGGCCGACGTCGCCACAAGTAGTGGCAATCTACGGAGGGTTCTTCATCGGCTGGCGCCATTGCCCATTGAAGGACGATGTCCCTCCAAGGGGGCCGGTGTTGGCGCAGATGCTGCTTTAGATTAAGATAGTTTAAGAGAATTATTTGAATTTTAGTTTAGGGCGAAAAGAGAGCGCGAGAGCGGCCGATTGCGGACGTCGCCTAGCGCCCTTTTTTCGCCGCCTTAGGCTTAGTTTAGCATGTAAGCCGAATTTGAAGTCAGTTGTAAAATAGAACTACATATAAGCACAATTGTCGCCAAATCGAAATTTTCTATATTAAAGTAATTAAAAAGCAAGCGTCCCATTTCTTTGTTTTTAATAATTTATATAAAATCATATAAATTTTCACTACTATTTTCCTCCAGACATACCAAATACAAAATATCCGTATAAAAACGTAAACAAAAGCACGCGAATTTTAATAGCATTAAATATTAGCGATCGAGGAGGTAGCTCTGCGGCCTTGAAGAAAAACCACCCCCATATTGCCGACGGTCGCCGTAGCCGGAACAAACGCGTGCTCCGCTTAGCCGCTACACTTACCATCAGCTCGGCCAACAGTAGTAGCGATATACTTTGCATGCTACAACGTGCTGTCGCGTTGCCGGTTGGGTCTGAAGTCAAAAGACAACCAACCAAGAAAATATAAGAAATTAATGGTAGAGTCCACCAGGCTCGACTCTTAAATAATTAAAAAAATAAAATAAATGAAATGAAATTAATAAAATACAAAATATACAACACATGTGTACTATAATAGTAAGCGCTGAGACGAACCTGACGCTGTCAGCTTAAAATCGTTCGGCACTGATTTTGAAACCGAATCCCTTGCTGTTTACGCTTGTTGTTGTTGTTTTCGTTGTCATTTTTATACCAGACCTGGAAAAACATCGATGTTTCGATGGGCAAAGTGCAAGATGCGAAAATAAGAAAGCATCAAATTCGTCTTTCACTATAGTATTAACAACTGACAGCTTGATCGCAACGCATGCGATTCGTCTTCAGCTTCGAGCAGAGCATAGGAATAGATTACACTTTTAATGAATCTTAATACACATAAGTACTAAAGTGATGTCCTATTTCGGGGATACTAAGATTGGTTAGCTTAAATTTTATACTTCATGAGATCCATTCGTTCGTGTAGACAGTTGGAAATATGGAAATTTCTATGTCGACTCGTCTTGTTATGCTGATATACACTTTGTGGGGTCCACCTCGCATCCTTCTGTGTATTATATGTATACCCGCATTAAACTTGTACGAGTATACCCTTTATCCTTTGGGTGCAGTGTATACAAATTTTTTTTAATAATAATAGCATATCCACTTTTAATGACATTATATTTAAATATTTATTTTGCTTGTCGTCACATTAAAGACTATTTTTGATATTTCGGACTAAAAAGTGCTAATTATATAAATTTATATATATGATCTACGTAGGCTTAACTGGCCACAATGTGAAATTGTTACCATTATAGCTGCTGTCGTTATAGCCTGGAAACGCCGATTCTCCAATTAGTTTCGTAAATATAGCGATAAATATAAACATACAAATTGTAGGCACAATACCGCCAAGAAGCTGTATTAATTGACGATGAATATAAATATTTACAACTAAATAGTTAATATTGTAGTATACTTACAAATTGATAGGGTCGGAGATTTCCCCAGCCAGCAATAATAGTGTTAGCAGGGGTGCTACATGGAAGCATGAATTGATTGTGTAACGCAGCGGCAAATGGCACAGCCAAGGCGCCAGGACCAGATTCTAGTTTATAACCCTAAAAATGGAAAAGTTTAGAATTACTAAATTTCAGATATAAGTGATGCGATCCAGTAAACCTAAATGTGAGAGACTTACAGCAAGAAACATTCCTGGAATGACGTATTTTGCTAAGGCCGTAGCAGGGGAGAGTATTGTTAAAATCATTCCGACCAGAGAACCATACCAAAAACAAGCTGCTTTATCTATTCCATTACGAACGAAAGTATCGATTAAGAGGGTGTAAAATTTGGAATGAATACCGGAATAGACTGATGCTAAAGCCGCTGCGAGAAAAAATATAGAGCCCCATGGTGTATTTGCGTTCACAGTTTTCCAGCCAAGACAAGATGGTGCAGCGCCCACTTTTGAAGGTTCTGCAATAGATTAATAATAGTAATTTATATATATGATATAAATTATATATATATATATATATATATATATATATATATATATATATATATATATATATATATATATATATATATATATATATATATATATATATATATATATATAGAAATGTATACAAAGAGCTTTCCAAAGTAAACAGGACTTTTTGAATCGATTGTCCAGTGACAATTTCATGACATGAAGTGAAGTTATTGCGTTTTATGTGTCAGTATGTTTGTGTTATCAGTGCAAAAATGAGCTTCGAACAAAGAGCTAACATTAAATTTTGTTTTAAAATTGGTAAAACTTTTACCGAAACGTTTCAATTGATGGAACAAGTTTACGGCAATGATTGCCTATCCGTAGCAGAGTGCACGAGTGGTTTCAACGTTTTCGAAGTGGTCGTGAGGACATAAATGACGATCAACATGTGGGCCAATTCAAATTCATGATCACCAAAACTTCCATCGCAACTGTGCGTGAATTCATCAAAAATCAGCCGAAATCATCATTGAAATTTATGGAATTGAACATTTGGGCTAACGAAAGGTGTATGCACGGCTTGTTCCGCACAAATTTACTGACGACCAAAAATTGTTCAGAATCCAACATTCGAAGTACATCATTAAAGAGGTCAAAAAGGACAAAAACTTCCTTTACAATATTGTGACTGGTGACGAAACGTGGTGTTTCCGATATGATCCCGAAACGAAACGCCAGAGTGCTGAATGGAAGGCACCGGACAAGCCGAATTGTTTTTATGATTCCAAGGGTATTGTCCACAAAGAATTTGTTCCACCCGGCCAAAACGTTAATGGAGTTTTAAAGCGTTTGGTGCGCCGTGTTCGGTCCGAATATCGCAAAGACGAATGTTGGCGTTTGTTGCACTATAATGCGCCGTCTCATCGATCGACGCTTGTGACCGATTATTTGACCAAAAATCACACATAAAACACTCGTTCGACATGCTTTTGGATCGTTCAAAAAGCTGTATTGAAGCAGAAGGAGACTATTTTGAATAAAATAAATTGATTTTGCCGAAAAAACCATTTGTTCTGTCTTTTTTTTTAAGCCCTGTTTACTTTGGAACACTCCTTGTATATGAATACCCTTGGTGTCAATGTGTACCAGTGCACATGTAGTATCTACAAAACAGATAGTTTGCTGGGACCGCAAAAAAAACAATGGTCATAGCTATTGAAGCAACAGATACTCCGCAAGGCTTTCGCTTTAAAACATCGTACCACCCATCAAAAATCATCGGTCGTCGCGTTACAATCACGAATATTGACACAATAATAAGTACTGTAGCCAATTTGGTATACGTAGTCCATGATCCCATTTCTTCTTTCTTTTCTTCTATGGCTTCTTTGACTGACCTCGGGTTTGTAGCACCTTCAACCACATCCCTCTTAAAGCTGCGATCACCTAATCCAAAAAATATTATATTGATCCAGAAAGCTACTACTACTAATCCAAGAATCAGAGGGGCCAAAAATACTTTTGCAAAACTTAAAGCTGAAGGTTTTGGTCCATCTGGCATATAGCTGAACAAGAAATACTATATATCAAAAAGCTACGTTGTACTATCACTTCTTACCTTTTAAATAAGTCCATAAAGATGCCATTAGGGTCTTGAAATGGTGATGGCATAGCTCCTATTGTAGCTGAGTAGCAAATGGTGAGATAAATGCCCGCGGCAGGCAGAGAGGGATATGGCTTGGCACCACGCTCGTAAGGCTCTTCTTCAGAGTACATATTGATAACTCCAACCTTGGAAAAGATTTTTACTAACAAGTGGAGAAGCTAAAGTCGGGTGTCCCGACTATGAAATACTCTGTACGTATGTACGTGTAGAAGAATTTTCATAATAATCAAAAATATAAAAATTAAAAAAAAATGAATACGAATTTTTGATAGGTTTTACCTTTCTTGGTATTCGAACTCACATAAAGGCTAAATAACTACACATTTAAATAGGAATTGTGTCTGTGTTGAGCCACAGCAGCAATAACAACCACAGCTGTGGGCTGAGATTACATCATAATGTAACTTAACATACGGATCCATAATCAATAAATGTAAGTGTCTGCGAAGTTTAAGTTCTAAATTGCAAGAATTACAGGAGGTATAGAAAATCACTAATTGTGGGAGAGATCGAGAGGGAGTAAAATTCTGATAAACATATTTCCTGCGTATTCATATAAGATATCGTGGGATAAGATTTGGTGTCCCTAAGTATTTGAGTCTCCGAGATATAGGTGACTATACGAACGGAAAACTGGAAAATTTCCCATAGGAAAAAAAGTTTGCACTGCGTAAATAAACTTGTCCTTAACTAGAAGAGTCTCTGTGATCCAGGTGTTCATACGGACAGACCGACGGCCAGACAGACAGACAGGGCTAGATCGACTCGTCTTGTTACGCTGATCAAGAATATATATACTTTGTGGGGTCTGCCACGCCTCCTTCTACCTGTTACATTTTTCACCTCCCGCAAAGCTAACGTACTCTTGTACATTTCATGTACAAGATATAAAAATCAAATTATTTAGACATACATTATTTAACTCAAATAATATGGCCTGCGAAACCTTCATCATTATGGCAGCAACATATGTACTACTGATAAATAAAGACAAAATTGTTGTTATAATCATTAAAACAAGTTGAATCCTATAATTAAAAATTATTAATATATTTGGAAATTTAATAAATATTATTATATCTTACACTCGTAAATTAGCACCGCATATAGATATGAACTTTACAGCACAGCGTTCACTTAACTTCGACGTGTCCATCATAATTCCCATCCAAAGAGCACCGTAAACCATAAATATTAGATCTGCATAGTGCGCCTTACATAAATCCTTTGAACTCTATATATTGTGGAAGTATGTAGATATAAAGCAACTTGGATTGAAGCTACTTACCGCAATTCCAAGTGGTGGCAGAAATACAATATATATAAATGCTGTAACACCTGGCGGCATAACATTGCAAACATAATATGAAAACATGCACGCAGTAATATATAAAAATCGATAGGCCTAAAAAAATAAAAAATAATGAAACATGGTTTAGGCATGCATTAGATACGGACTCGGAAATTTATTTTATTGTTTTTTATAGTATACTAGCAGGTCTTGCCCGTCTTTGCTGGGCTAAGTAAAATGTGCTTATAATTAAAAGTTTATTTACTTGTGATATTCTTCTTTCGACGCTCTCTAAAGTGTTTTAAAGAGTTCAGTTTCCAAAAAGCAAATATAGTACAATAAGTACTATGTATGGTTATACGTACATACATACATATGTACATACATATCTTCGTTACGCACCGGGCGGACTGCCAGTCCTGACTTAAATGTGTATTTCCTCAGCACGTTGTATACTCGGTCGAGTTATCCCCGAAAAGTCCGACGCGGGACATTTAATTTTGATTTATAAATCGGGACATCCCGCCAAAATTGGAGCGTTCGGCAACGCTGATATGTACATACATTTAAATTTTTCATGCAGGCGTTATCCGTCTATATACATACATACTTGTACATAATAACATCTTATAATTTATTGAGATCAATTAGAACAAATCATATACAAACATACATATGTACATCTGCCCGCAACGCGGTTTCTGCTTTACTATCGCTTACGCAGTCGTTGCCTAGCGACGGTAACTGTAAACTTTTGGCATTTTGTCTTTGAAATTAACAGGCGTAAATGATCTACACCAAAGAAAAAGCGCGAGCTTATGACTTGCAGTTGTTGTTGTTTTTCGTTTTAAAAATTTGATTTAAAACCATAGAACATTATTTATTACAATCAAACAACAGTGCTTGATTGTCCAATGTATACATACATATTTTGATTTAAAAAACCGTAATTGAAAAAAAAAGAAAACTGATTTTTTTTCACATAAAATGACGTGTTTAAATGACTTAATATCAACGCCAGTAAAGGCAGCAACGAAGGCAAGCATTTGCGCTTTGCATAAATATGTATTCGAAACCGAAGGAGACCGAAGTAATAGAAAGCGTTCGCGAGAATTCTCTGGATTCGAATTCGAAAATGATGACTTACACAAGGCAAAATGCGAGTACATACAACAAAATCTAAGCGATCGTGACCTTGTATCGATTTGTGTTGTATTGGGCATATGCCACAAGGTTGATGACAGTTGCACATATTTCGCAATTTGGTAGCAACGACGAGAGCGCACAGTGGGGCCTTTGGACTTTTTTCGTTGCAAAAATCATATCTTCTGAACGGCTGAAGCAATTTTCGTCATTCAAATTTTGTTTGAAAGAAATTCTTAAGCTTTGAAACAAGTCATAGCGCATTGTGCTGTGATTTCTAGGAGCTGCGCAATGTGTGCTCAAAGTTGGATTTTGTTGCCAGTGCAATATTTGCCTAATCAAACTAATAAAAAACATTTAATGATACAATTATTTTCAGTTATGTTATATTTTTAGTTTTTAACAAATTAAAAATTGAACAAAAAATTGTTTAAATATTACAAATTTTTTTTTAAATTTAAAAATATTGAAAATTTTTTTTACATAAAAAAAAAGGAAAATAAAATATTTTGTTAATATTTTATGATTACATTAATTTTTATTATAAAGTACTGACAGCTGCAATTATTTACATTAATATGTTTTCTTTAAAATAGTCGTCTACATTCGAAGGAATATCTAATAATTTCACCATGTCCGAAGAATAATTATTAACTAATTCTTTTTGAGACCTCACATGTCTAAGGGATGAAACCAGTGGATCTGAAGAGGCTGACAACATATTGAAGAGATCTTCGATTTGCCTTATTCGTGACGTCTTGCATGTGTTCAAATATCTGAATTTTTTATAGTCCTTGTTCCTCGACTCTTGGGCTTGCTCTGACTGTTCCGTCACTATTGTGGGCTGAGGTACTGCCTCTTTCTTAGCCGATCCTATTTGTTTGTACCCAGGAAGAACATCAACATTATGCCGAATTAGGGAATGTCGCAATATTAAATATTTTTCCTTTGACAATCCCAAACCCATAAACAATGCCAAAGCCTCATCGGCACTGAACTGCTTTGGCAGTAAGTTTGGCGGAGTAGGAATGCTTTCCTTGATCCTCTTAAGTCGCACTGGGCTTGCGTCAGCAACCGCTTTTGTGATTTGCGATTTTATTTTTTCCTGATCCTTGGTGTATTTCATGGACAGCGCCTCCGACAAGTGATCCGTAGCTATGGCTTCTGTGACATCGACAAGCTTTCTTTTTCTTGTAAAATCCGAGCATTCTTCAATGGATTTCGTTGGTCTTCCTCTGGCTCGTCCAGTTGATGTAGAGGGTACATCGTCCATTGATGTATCCAAGTACGTAGTCGTTGATAGCCAGATTTCATATTTTAAATCAAATTTCTGCTTGCTATATCCTACGCTTATCCATTTCTGTTTGATTTTAGAATAAATTAATTTAAGCTTATTTCTCAACATTTTTTGCTGATCTGCACTTTCCAGAGCATCATACAGCTCTTTCAGAACAGCTTCTTCAAATTCGTTCTCATCATTGGAATTCCTAAATAGATCAAATAATGTTGCATTTTGCACAGCCATGTTAAAGAAAAATCACTTTTAAGGTATTTAAACGTAAATTATATTGAAAAATACTATTCACTGCTAGTTAGACACAACTGATTGCTTTTTAAGTCAAAATTCGACTATTACGCTGCACCAAAAATATTGGCAATATATACCATTTCTAAACGCATACCTAAGATATTAAACTAAAACCTCTTTTTGCCTGTTCAAATGCTTTAAAGCAAAGAAATTACAATTCATGAAAGGGTCAAAAAGATTGCAAAACCTTCACCTGATATTGTAAATTACACTACCTGTAATAAATGTTATGCATAATTTTGGTTGCACAATATTAAATGTGGATCAAATAGGACCGCTTAGGTATATTTTTGTATCCATAATGCTAAATACAATGTTCCTAATAGCCGTTACAGCGAATCTACCTGCAATGCATTCTTCTTCTTATACCCGCGGCAGCGCCTTTTTCGCTGATTTTTTTTCCGAAGTTGCGGCACTCTTTTTGCTCTGGTGCACACCGGCGGATCCGGGCGGATGAAAGTTTTATTGCGTTAGGTAAAAGAATATTTAAGGAACATATTTTGAAAATATGGGCGAGGTACTTTTGGGTACTTTTTTTTTATTTTCCATCAAAGTTGAAAAACACCCTAAAAATAGGTAGTTTAAAAAATAACGTTTTCTAGATAACTACAAATACGAAAGACATAGTTTTTATTAAATAATGCATAAAATTAATTCATCTAGCAATACAAATCAAAACATCAATGATTCGTTTCATAACTTAGCTAATATTATACCTGAAAGATGAAGTATTTGCATCAAATGGAATTAATTGTTGCGAGCTTAAAAAAGGGTCGACTTTGAGTGGACATATGTCCTAAACTATAATTCCGTTTATTAGACACGTTTATTCATTACTCCGAAAGCGTTCACGAAAATTTTGATTTTCGCAAGCTGTTTCGGTCTAACGCCCCACTGTGCGACGACGGCGAAGGACAAGAAAACGCAGGAGACAGAGGCAGAACTAGCGAAAGCGACGACGTCGAATTTGCGAGCGTAGTTACAAACATGGGAGAAAAACAACAAAGAAGAGAGCCACAAAACAGCTGTGAAATGGCAGCACCACGATTTGAAATTACTTTTCGAGATATCGAAGAGTCAATCCGAACATTCGATGGCAGTGAGAATTTATCGATAGAAGCATGGATATCAGAGTTTGAAGAACAAGCATTGCTGATGTGCTGGAGTGAACTGCAAAAATTAATATTTGCAAAGAGGTCACTAAAAGGAATAGCGAAATTGTTCGCTTTGAGTGAAAAGCGCCTTAATACGAGGACGAAGCATTCATTCAATATGTAGTTGATGGAATTGATGAACTCTCAACAAACAAATCAATGCTATATGGTGCTAAAAATCTGTACGAGTTTACATTCAAATTAAAGGATTACGAAATTATAAATAGAATGATGAAAAAGAGTGACAAAATAAACAAAGACAAAACAAAAGCAGGCGCCGTGCACAGTAGTACACAAAGTGGCAAAAAAGAAGTGAAATGTTATAACTGTGGAGAGAATGAGCATGTATCTAATAGCTGTACAAACAAAGAGAAGGACAGAAAATGTTTTAAATGCAATCAGTTTGGCCATATTTCTAAGAATTGTAAGATCGAAAAAGAAAAAGATGAGAAACCAAACATGCGCATTGTGAAAAGCTTAAACGACTTAACAAGCAAGGAAATTATATTGAAAAACTCGACGTATGTTGCACTGTTTGACACTGGCAGTAAATTTAATTTGATACGTGAAGATTTGTATACGGAGTTAAATTTGCCAAAACTAAAGGAGTGCTGTGTTGTTTTAAAAGGATTCGGTAGCGACTGTAATGCAAACAAAATTAAGCCGCTTGGGCAGTTTGAGCAGGATGTGCGCATTGATGACGATTGCTATGTGCTAAATTTTTATGTTGTGCCAATCAAATGTATGGACCTTAAAGTAATAATTGGTGAAGAAATATGTATGTATGCAGAAATTGCATTCAATCGAAATGGCGTTATGGTCCGAAAGATGC